GAAATGATACTGGAAACAGCCTCCGTTCTTTTTTATAATCAAATTCGTGGCCAGGTGCATGAATTCATGCACATTGAAAGGAAATTAATTAGCCGAAATCGGTTTGGCTCAGTGGATGGAGCGTCAGCCTGCGGACTGAGGGGTCCCAGGTTCGGTTCCAGTCAGGGGCATGTGCCTTGGTTGCGGGTGCACCCCCGGTGGGGAGTGTGCAGGAGGCAGCTGATCGATGTTTCTCTCTCATCGATGTTTCTAATTCTCTATCTCTCTCCCTTCCTCTCTGTAAAAAATCAATAAAATATATTTTAAAAAAAAAAGAATTTTTCTTTCAATGTTAACATATATTTTGTACCTTGTAGATGCTCCATAGTACTTATTCAGACAGGGAATAGATATGGAAAATCCCCTTAGGGTGCTCTTCAGTCGTAAGTATTGCTTTTAAAAATATATTTTTGTTTATTAATTTCAGAGAGGAAGGAAGAGGGAGAGAGAGATAGAAACATCAATGATGAGGGAGAACCATTGATCGGCTGCCTTCTGCATGCCCCCTATTGGGGATCGAATCCACACCTGGGCACCTGTCCCGACCATGAGTCAAAACCTGACCTCCAGGTTCATCGTGATGCTCAAGTGACCTCCAGGTTCATCGGTTGATGCTCAAACACCGAGCCATATGGCCAGGCATTAAGTGGTAAGTATTTGATAAAGATGGCTTCTCACTCAAGGGCAGGTGGACCCATCACCACCAAAGTCTTTGTAGAGTGGAAACTCCAGGGATGAACAAGGAAAAGTGTGTGTGGGGGGAGCAGATAGACCCTCACCCAGACAATCTCAGAGTGTGCGGGAGACTTAACCTGACCTCAGAGAGGTCTGCCTTTTCCCTTCGCTACTGGGAGTGATCTCTAGGGTCCTAGATGCCCTGACTGGTAGCCATGTCATTGCTTGCCTGGCATTTGGCCCCTGGCCAGGCTGACAAGGTGATGTATGAAGGAGCCTTTGGGACATGTGGTATCAGATCTGCCGATGAAGGAACTAGAGACAAAAGTCATTAGTTAGCCCTGCCGGTGAGGCTGGAGGCTGCAGGTCAGATATGTGGGCAGCGTGCGATCACGCCCCAATAGCCCTCTGCACACTGAGACTCTGCCATATTTACACCAGGCTCTTATGAGCCCTCTTCTCAACTAGGCCTTGTCCTTGTCCTTCCATGTTCCGTCCTTGGCAGCCTGTATCTTCCAGTCTTAGCAAGAATAGTGCTAAGTCAGTTTAGGGAGACCCCCACACACTCTGTACAAAATATGTATATATTATTTAATCCTCACCAGAGGACATGCTTAGAGAGAGGAAGGGAGAGAGAGTGAGAGAGAGAGACATTGATCAGTTATCTTCAGTATGTACCCCAACCAAGGATAGGACATGCAACCCAGAT